TTTCCCTACCACTTTCCTCCTTTTTGAATTCCTTAAAAAATATCTTGTATACATAAATTGAAATTCCATTTCTAATTTTATTCCACTCTCTTGTGAAAGCAGCAATTAAAATATTTGTAATGAATAGACATATTCTGGCATTTAAAATATAAAACCAAAGTGGAAAAATATTAGAGATACTGATATTTAGATCAAGGTTCAGATCAAGATGATGATAGTCTTTGTATAAATTTATTACCTCAAAGTAATATTTTTAAATAATCATTTAACATGAAAGTAATTTTTTCTAAAAGCATAAAGAAAAGCCCAGGGAAGACTTCCATTTTCTTATTTTGGGTCTTATTAACTACAGTTAAGCAGTTTAAAAATCTACCTGCATTTTTCCCCTTGCCCTACACGTGGTTCAAAAGCAATCGTTTGCTGCCCCCTGGCTGTAAAGAGATTCCTTATCTTTGAGTAAAATTATTTTCTTTAAAAGAAAAAAATACTCTATGTTGAAAAGGGGAGGATATAGAAAATCTGGAACTTCCCTGTAAGTCCAGGGATTAAGACTCCACTCTTCCAATGCACAGGGTGTGGGTTCAATCCCTGGTTGGGGAAATAAGATCCCATATACTGAGCAGCAGCCAAAAGATCAAAAAAAAAGAAAGGAAATAAAATCTATGACCTCCCAAATATATAAATGTACTAATTAATACCCATTAAGAACCTACATTTTTAGATCAGACTGCCTACCATGTACTAGCTCTGTGATCTTAGTCAAATTACTGAACCTCTCTCTGAAGTTTCCTAATCCATGTTAAAGAAGCTAATGAGAATAATAATGCCTACCTCATACAATCGGCAACCCCAACTAGAGAAATCCTGGCATGCACACAACGAAGACCCAGAGCAGCCAAAAATAAAAACTAATAATTTATTTAAAAACAATAAATAAATAGACATTGCCAAATTGCCCTCTAATCTTGCACTCCACCAACAGCATGAGCCAAAACATCTGATTGACACAGAGGCAAAGCTGGGACCCAGCTTTGTTATTTTACAGTTCTACAGATGTGTACTCAGTTATCTCAAGATCGTGTATTAAGTCCATTTATCTTTACCCACTAATTTGAAATATTATCTTCTACAAAGGTTTCTGTCTCTAATAATAGCAAAGAAAAATGTTCACTATCAATATACAAAATAAAAGTCCAAAATAAGATTGGGTTGCAAAATACACACTGCTTTTCTAAGAAATTATAAAGAAAGAATGTAAGATATCTCAATAATTTTTATATTATTTACACATCAAAATGTTAAACTTTGTGTATATTCATTAAATAAAATATATTATGAAAATTTACTTTATTCTCTCTTTTACTTCTTTAATGTAGCTACTACAAGACTCATAATTACAAACATGTCTCATTTTGTATTTCTATTAGACCACGGTATCAGTTCACAGCAATAGAACTTGTAACTTTAGGACATAACCTGAAGGATTAGCTGTGACTCTTGGAGACCACACATAGAAGCTGCAATCACAGGGATTCCTAAAAGTTCATTATGAATAATAGACAACACAATACACTAGGAAGAAAGAATTATTCATTCTGCAAATAAGGATTCAGCACCAACTATTGCCAGGAACATGCCTGGCATTAGATCTGGACTATAGACTCCTTGGTAACTGTACAAATTTAACCTTGTCAAAGCATTAAATTTCAGATGTTTCCTAATAACAGACTGAGGTTGGCTTCATGTGTTTAACTGGCCTTGCCTCAAGAGAAGAGATTGGAATGAATGCACTCTGGAAATTCTTTTCTGCATCAAGATCTATGATTCTGTACATACTTCAACTTTATAACTGAAGTCTCTAACTGCCTAAAAAACTATATTAGAAAAGCTGATATCATAAATTTATAAACCACATTTTTTTACACATTATTTACTAGGAACATTTTCTCTCAGCATGTAAGTAAATTAATTCAGTGTGTAAAACATTCAATTCTATAATGGATAGTGAACTAAAAAGAAAAATAAAATCATATTTTTTAGCATATTCTGACAGTTTTGAGGTCCATAGATTTTTTTTCATTAACTTATTCAATATTTATATAATGAGTTTAAGGAAAGGTGCTATCGAGGAAACAAACATTCATAGGGAGAGTTCCTGTTCTTAAGTAACTCATCTCTGTGAAGCTTCTCTGGCCAGAGTTACTCCTAAAGGTAGATTTAATTACTCCATTGTTCATGTCTCTATTACAACATTCAACACATTTTCTCTGTTTATATTTCTGCTTCCTCCCTAGACTGTAATCTCCTTGGCAAAGAGATTATCTTATTCATCTTTGAATCCAGGACTTAACAAACAAGGGATGCATGTTGAACGCTTGACATGCGGCTATTATCATAACCATAAGGAAGAGATGGACAAGCCGTGCCCCAGATGTGATACCCTGAGGAGAGCACACCATCAGCCCTGCAGTATTTTTGCCAAGAATGCATAACCTCAGTCTGTTATTAGGAAACATCTGACAAGCACAGAGTGATAAACATTCTACTAAGAAAGTGGGGCACAGGGGATTACATACTTACAAAACATTAATGTCATAAAAGACAAAGAAAGGCTGTGGAATTGTTCTATATCAGAAAGCTAAAGAAACATGACAATTAAATGCCATACCTTATCCTGGACTGGATCTTTTATTGGAGTGGAAAGATTCCTATTAGGGATATTATTAGGTCAATGGACTATAGAATATGAATGAAACTGGAATATGAATGATAGATTATGGTATTGTATCAAAGCTAATTTATGAATTTGAAAACTTCATTATAGTTATGTAAAAAAGTATTCCTATTTTTAGGATATACATGGAGATACCTTAAAGTATTATAATATATGTAACCTTCAAATAGGTCAGCAAAAACTTATGTCCACACACATACATGAACATACATGCATCACACATGTGAATACCCATGTAAACCTACATGGAGACAGCAAATGATAAAGCAAAATAAACCTGGTAAAGAGTGTGTGCATACATTCCTTGTACTGTTTTTGTGTTTTCAGTTTTGAAATTACTTCCAAATGAAATGTTTTTAAAAGGACAAATGTATATATATATATATATATATATATGTGTGTGTGTGTGTGATGCTCAGCTTCACTGCTGTTCACAGAAATGCAAATTAAAACAATGAGAAAGCATTATTCACTATTAGCAAAAATTTAAAGGGTGGATAGTATTCAGTAAAGGCAAAGGTATAGAGAAAGTAATACTGTTTTCACATAATGTTGAAAGGAACAGAAATTAACAAATCCTTTTAGAGAATAATTTAGCACTTTAATCTATTAACCGTTTAACCTTTTAAACCCAGAAGTTCACTTCTAGGAATTTTCCTTTATAATTGCATGCAGTATGCATATTGACAAGGCAATATAAGGTGGTCACTTCAGTATTGTTTGTAATAGCAAAAAAAAAAAAAAAAAGGGAA